ACACGGCTTCAGAGTGAAGCTGAGAGTTCGAGTAGAGTGCAGAAAATGTCGGAGCAAGGCACTAGGAAAACAATGGGGCATCTTTTGTGTGCATATTCTGCATTGGCAAGGGAACAATTTATGCATTTGCGGACCGCACTGTATGAGACACTGAAAGAGCTATCATTGGTGAGGCTAGAGAAACTTTTGAAACTCGCATCAAGCGCTGCCACTCTGAAGGATGATTACTTCTTTTGGACGTTACTGCAGCTAGTATCGCTAAGGACAAAAACTGATCTATGCTTATCTTATTTGCCTACCAGACTAATATTGGCTAACCATATTTTAATAATGAAGATAATATTTATTTAATTACAATTGAATTTTTTCTTCTTAGTATTACTAATGATTCAAATCATTCCAGAAGCCCTACTTTTGCTGGTGGAATATTTATGATCTCTCGGGAATGGTTTAATAAATTAAATGGCTTCAACCCACTACTGCAGGTAAGGAAATTTGACAGTGAGTATAGTAGGTGGTCAATTTTGTAGCTAAGTATTGCCGTTAGAGATATGGCATTCTATATAAGAGTTCTTCACATCATTAAATTTTTTTTAAATTAAATCCGTTCTTTAAAAGGTTTGAGGAACCTAAAACGATCCTCCAAAACCATCTAAAGACAGTTCTGGTTTCCAATTATTGTTCAAATCTGGTTTCATTTCCCGAAGAGAAAATATTTCGGTCATACAATTTATCAGATTCTCTATCTGCGTCTCACCGAGTGTTACCAATTTTTAAGACATAACTAAAATGTTTTCAGTTTTTATAATTTAAAGTTACGAGTTGCTAAATTCGAGAGTATATTTATACTCTCGCAATTTGTTGAATCTCTGAGTTTTATTAAGATATCTCCGAATATATACGGTATAAAGTCCAAGGTCTTCAAAGAACTCATCAGCAATGAATACTTTATGAATATAAAAAATTGTAATGAAATCCAGAGATTAAAGTTCAAAAAGAAAAAGTCGAGCTTGAAACAAAGTCTCTTATAAATTAAATGTTCGTAAACAAAATAATCTCAAATAATACTCTAAAAAAATTAATATTTATAATTGCTTAACTACCAAATACACAACTGAAACAAGTACTCTTTGGTTGTTGCTCTTTTGTTGCTTAGTAGTTGTCAAGACTGACAACTTTTTCTGTATTTATACTAGATCCAGTAGTGATAAGAGTAATTGGCCAGTTGAGATTGGGCTGCTTTTGTTTTATTAAGCCTTGAAATATAGCGAATCGAACAAGCAACTGGCATAATATTACATAGACTGGCATAACCAGCGTGAGATGGTAAATCAGGTATAATAACGCATCTACATACTC